CACGTTTCCCAATAAATTCTTGAAGGCTTCTAAAGCAATTGCGGACTACAACGTCCTAGCTCACCTCTGCAAATTTTTGACATTCTTAATCATATGCTTCTATGATTCCCTCATAATATATAAAAAGCATTTAAAAGCACCTCCACAATCATCTTTGATAATGATGATCTCCTTTTGGGGACGACTAAAAATAATCAATTGTGTTAGGTCACGACAAAGTGATATTATTTAAATGTACTAAATTTTGAGTGACTCAGGCTCTTCAATAAATCTCATAAGTGTTAAGAGGCTCTGGTGGTTGAGTCTTAACCTTGAATATCTTAGCAATGGTAATTTTTCCTCTAGCCTTTTAATGAATAGGAGCAGAGAACCTTCAGATCTTTTATCGTACCACTCTGCGTTGGAAAACTCTATATAGAGGTAGAATTCTGTGGTTGACTTTGATACTTTGGAAGAATTCCTCCAATGATAATGGCTCCATGAGTAAGTTATCTTGCTCTTCACAAGAGTATGAAATATACTTGGGAATGGAGAATATCATTGAATGGATGGTGATATGCAATCATTTATGATACATGAGGTCAAAATATGTGATGATGCTAAACATTTTATCATGAAGAAATTGAAAAGTACGAACCGTCCGCAATGGCACAATTTGTTGAAGCACAATCGAAAGGCACGAATTAAAAGGTAAAGTGCAAGATAAGCCTAATCAACTTAATTCATAAGAGCTTTCTCCTAGAGAATAAAAGAGATTTCCTTATCTTAGCAATAACACAAATAATGAATTTTGTGTCTATCATCTTAAGGGCACTCCAACGGCTCAAAATAAAGGAGAACTAGAACCCAGGTCTCTAACATAACAAATAAATAACAATTATATCTTCCTAGTGAGAGTGTTTAACTCCCAAGTTCCAAAAGCATCATTGAAATAACAACTATGCCTTCTTATGAATTGATATCCTCTTGATTATTGATGTAGAGATGTTAAAGACCTATGTCACTCCAAGGAGAGTCTGCAATGTTCTTTATTAGATTTAAATGAGAAGTTGACTCTTAACAGAACACAATGGAGAAAAAAGATTCCTGTGGCTACCCTCGTAATGGAATCAAGGCTTGATGTTGTTGTTTTTGTTGTTGTAGTCAGATGAGAAACCAACCCATGAGCCCATGCCATTCACAAACTAAAATGTGACAACCTCAATTTGTAAGAAGTGATATCAATAATGGTCTCACAATTCTTCTCACGTGCTTTAAGGCACCTCATTGAAAAGCAAGTTCCTATCAAGCAAGCTTGTCATTTCAAAAAGCTATGGAAAGAAGAGCATGTCAATATAACTTTAAGACATAAGAATTGAAAAATTACTCTTATTGATTATAAGGATTGTGGTACTTAGAATTATATTGAAATGCTAGGCCTACTATGGATATAGCAATCCCTCTAATCACTAGATGTCATATATGAAAGGCACCGTGGTGATAAGAACTAAAATTTAGGACTAGCTAATTGTTGAAACTACAAAGCTCTATAAAGTTGAATTCATTTGGGAGAGAAAATATATTGACCGGATCACAAATATCATCTAAAATAAGAAAAAGAATGGCTAGATTTATGTCTGCATTAACTTCCAGAACTTGAAAAATCATTTCATCTTTTTCAAAAGACGACTTTCTACTACTCATATGAAGCCCATGATTTGCAATACATCACAATATAACAAAATCAAGATGGCGTTAAAGAAAATAAACATACATCTTTTTGCATACTCATTAGTATCCATTGCTAGAGGGTGCAGCGTTTTTGACTTGGAAAACACCAAAGCCTCTTGTAAAAGGATTTTGAATAGGGGTGTCAAAAACGGGTTGCGGGTCGGGTTCAGGTCGAACAAGACAGTGACCCACAACTGTTTGACACGACTCGAATCCTACCCATTTTTGCAAACGGGTTGGATTTTACAACCTAGACCCGACCCACCAAAAAACCGGGTCAACCCAACCCGACATGGCTGACCCAAGGCCAAATCGCAGGCGTTGTCGTAGTGTGCCGCTGTGCACGGTTACTCTTTAGGGCTTGCTGATGGCCGGCGGGCTAGGCCTTGCAGGTCTGCAAGCGCCAAGCATCAAGCGACTCAGGCAAAGTAAGGTCGAGCGCGCGAGGAATTAGGGTTTGCTGGTGGCTGATGTACTTGGGACCAATAATTTGGTCCGGTGCTTAAGTCCGGACTCAAGCGAGCGCGATCTAGCCACCGTAGGCGTCAGGCTATGCGGGCGAAGCAGGGTTGAGCACGCGCGGGGTGATGTCAGGCCGGCTTCAGGTTGATGTTGGGTTTTCGGGTTGACCCAAACCCAGCCCGAATTCACAATTGGGTCCAGATTTTAAACCCGAACCCGACTTGTTTACTAAACGGGTTAACCCTAACCCAAAATTTTTGGGTCATGTATAATATTGACAGCCCTAGTTTTGAATTACATCTTTAATGACCTCATACACAAACAAGTAAATATTTTTATCATTGACTTGGTTGTAAAAAGTATAACCCATTTTGATCATGTAAATAATCCTTAGTTTTTTTTAAAGAATTCAAAATTTTAATCTTAAAGCGAATCCTTTGAAAAATATTTTTACATTCATAAAAAATGTTCTATGCTTTGTTGTACGCCATAGAGACATTGAAATTGATTCCCCTGAAAATTAAGAATGTTGTGTGCCAGAACATTAGCAGTGGTAGAGATACAAAAGAGTTAAACATCCTAATTGGCATGAAGATCCAATACACACATATATATAAATAGACGGGTGCAATAATCATAAGAGATACCATATTTTTTACATAAAAAACCCGGAAAGGGAAAAATCATGAGGCTTGACTCAGTGATCACTTGTATTTGTCATTGATTATAAATGATGCACTTCCTTGAGGGAATACATTGTTGCAATGCAAATAACATATTATATGGTTGAAATTGAAAGAGCCCTCTAGTAGGAATCTAGCATTATGGCGTCGGTGGCATGCATCGATCCTATAAGAGATGGCGTGTGTTTCCATTATTAGCAATGGTAGGTGATGAAATCAATAGACATTGGAGTAACCAAGTGATGATGGCCAAAAGGTTATCGGCCGGAGGAATGTTCCGGCACACAACAAAAATGATTTTGAGTATGCCACTGTCAAAAAC